GATCCCTGATACAGCTCAGCCAAAAATTCCAAAATAATAGGGATTGATTCTTCCAAAGGGTTCCACTGTTTTGTAGCACAAAAGTACCACCACCGCTTCCAAGTTGAATTGTATTGTTTGAGCGTTGAATCTGTCACAGAGGAGATGAAAATATCTATTGTGCTGGATGGTAAACCTCTGGCAGTGAAAGCTTTCCGGACAAATGTCCGACCACTAGGGTAAGGTTCCGCCACAGGGGATGGGGCCTGTGAAAACATGTCAGCATATTAATATTGGGTTGCAAAATAAGGGGGGGCTTTTTAAGAAGTGATGTAAAAATCGGGTACCAGGGTTGAGTTTTCCACATAGGAACTACGAGGATTCCCTCAGCCCGATCAAAAGAAATTTTCTGAAGCACGCGTGGAATTAATATAAACGGGGGAAAAGCATAGAAAAAATAATTCGTCCATAAAACGGTGAATGCATCTATGGTAAAGGCTTCTGGGTCGCGAGCCCATGAAACAAATAAGTCACACTTTTTGTTAAGCCGACTGGCGAATAGATCTATAGTTGGGCAACCAAAAACTTGAGTGATTTGTTGGAAAGCCCGGGTAGATAACGACCATTCTGTGTCAGGAGTATTGTGACGCGATTCCTCATCCGCTTCGCGATTGTCAGCGGATTTAATATAGGAGGCGTAAATCCAAATATTACGTGCTTCGCACCATTGCCAGATTTTACGACTAATATTATTAAGTTCGGGAAATTGAACCCCACCCATGCGATTCACGTAGGAAATAGCGCAAGTATTATCCACCCGCAAGAGGATCTCACAATTAGCTTCTGATCCAGCAAAGCATTTTAACCCGAAAAGAATTGCTAAAAGCTCTAAAGCGTTAATATGTTTAAATTTTTCCTTGTCAGACCAGTGGCCGTGAGCTCGCTGTTTCTGGCATACAGCGCCCCAACCCGTAAGAGAAGCATCTGTAAAGATGGTTAATTTGAACTGGAAGCGTCTGATAGGACAGTATGTATTAGTTATATTATTTTTCCACCATAAAAGGTCTTCGGTCAGCGTCTCAGGAGTATTGATCCACGCATCGTAATTATCAGAATGCCTTTTTAGTGCCAAAAACTTCGTACGTTCTAAAAGTTTCGTGTAAACCCAACCATACCTGGTTGCGGGACAGATAGAAACTAGAGTACCAATCAATTGGGCAAAAGCTCTAATTTTACAGCGCTCCGATCTAAGAAATGAAGTTAACATGCATTGAAGACGACGCTGCTTCTCTAAGGGTAATGTAACTCTCATTAACGCAGAGTTAAATTCGAAACCCAAGAAGGTGCAAACCTGTTGGGGAATGAATTTGCTTTTCGAATTATTAATAATAAAGCCCAGCTGCGTAAGTAAACGTCGAGTGGTATTAATATTATTTGAACAAGAAACATATGAGGGACCAGCTAGCCAAAAATCGTCCAAATATACCACTGAAATAAATCCCTGAGATCGTAGATGGGCAACCACCGGTTTGACAACTTTTGTAAAAACAAAGGGAGCTGTATTAAGGCCAAATGGGAGGCAGTTGAATTCATAGGTAACCCCTTGAAATTGGAAACGTAAATATTTTTTGTCAGCCTCAGCAATGGGTATCATAAAATAGGCATCTTTAAGGTCCAAGGTGCCCATAAAAAATCCCGGTTGCATAAGTCTAAGAACGGTATTCCTATCCTCGAGTTTAAAGTGTTCAGGCTGAATGAATGTATTCAATTGTTTCAAATTTAAAATAAAGCGCTGAGAACCGTCAGGCTTCGGGACCATAAATATTGGAGAAATAAACTGGTCAGCACAAGGATCGCAACGCGATATGGCTCCGAAAGAAAGGAGTGAACGGATATTGTCCAAAATCACCTGTGATTCAGACTGAGACCACGTGGTGGGTTTAGGTGGGTGGTCCTGTAACACAGGTCTAACAAAAGGTAGTTCATAACCCCTGATCCAAGATAAAATTACAGGATCATTTGTAAGTTTTTGCCATTCAGATAGGAAAAATTTTAATCTACCTGCCTTTGGAATCTCAGCTAATGATGACGAGTTGAACGATGGTTGGGTTTGGTCTGGTACCTGAACTTTTCTGGAAGAGCAGTGAGTTTCTGTTTGCCCTGATAATGCTGTTGTGGTCTGTGTCCACTTTGACGAGAGGGCTTTTGTGGTTGACGAAGTGGACGGTTGAAGTTTAAATGAGTAGACTTTTGAGTTTTTGGTGCGGTTACAGTTACAGGTGTAGGACGCACTCGAAGCTCTGCAGATGTTTTGTCAAGAGCTTTTGCAGCTTGGATACGGTCCCGTAAATTATTGCCAAATAGCCAGCCGTCAACACATTCCTCTAACAGAGTCTCACCCAAGTTTTTATTTAAACCACCTTTAATCATGGCTCGGCGTGCTTGAGACTGGTCGAAGTGAATATCAGCAAAGATACGTGCGGCATCACTCGCACGTTCAATAATTTGGCGAGTTATATCGGATGATTGTTCTCCTGACAGGGCTAGATTCAATAAACCACCAATAGCGGACATTCCAGCACAAATTTTGTTCTGTGTACCAGCAACTCGTAAATCACGGGCCACAGTAGCTTCTGTAACCGATTTTTTAACTTCCACATTTAATTTTGGTGCTTCCATAAGCCGACAATTAGAGAAAGCCGGATATTTTTCAAATAAAGTGGCACGAAGATCAGATGGTAATCCCGATTGGAAAATTTTTGTCCAAATTTCTGCAATATTCTTGTGAATTGTTGGAGCTTCCTGTTTTTTCGCATGCGTGTGATAACCCAAAAGTTGAAGAGTTTCCTCATCTAAAGGGATTGCATTCTCATCTTCTTCAGGTCCCCAGTCAGAAGGCCGTTCAGCTGTAAGGATAACATCCTTATTAATATCAAGAGAAAAGCTTACAATCCTAACAGGATTATAAAATAGCGACCAACGGTCTAGTGGGTATAAGGTAAACTACCTTTAACCACCTTTTTATATTCCAACTTGAAAGAATAAGTCCTTAAACAAACAAACAAGAAATTGAGGTTATGTACTTACAATGAGGTGAAAAGGAGGCGGCAATGCCGTCTTCCAGCCCCAAACTTGCGTTATTTTCATTAGAGGGAAGAGATAAGTCCCGTAGGGGTGTTGTGGGTACAACTCGGGCTCGTTTTTCCCTTAACTTTTGATCCAGTAATTTCCGTAGTTTTTTCACCTGATTTCTAACCTCATCCTCATTTTCAGACGATGAACTAGTTGGCGAATGCTCTCGACGACGTTTCGAAGATGTAAACATTGTGAATTATTATTAAAAACAAGATTAAATTAGAAGAACGTGTGCTCGTTGGCGCGCACAAAAGAGTAATGATTTGACGTACCGATGAGGGCGCCAGCGATGGAGTTGGAACGAAATTTGAATTTTGCTTTAAATTGTGCGAGATTGGCGCGTAACTGAGGGTTACTACATATAAGTGATCATGAAGGCGAGGCGGATTATAATTATCCACTTAAAACTTTCGATTTTATTTATATATTGACAAAACGTTTGAATTTTATTAAAGATTATTTAATTTTCATAAAAATAAATTATAATTTTTTATATTATTGATCATTTTCTTACAATATGTGATTAAGGATATTATATAACTCTTAAATTTTTATTATACTAACAATTAAAAGTTTCTTTTAAGGTAGCCATGAAACTTTAACTTGGATGTATTTATTTGTCATATACCTGCATGCTATATAAGTTTTATTAAGTTTTTTAAAGTATTTTTAAACTATAAAATATTTTTAAACCTTCAAAAAAATTTTACAAAAGTCTCTGGATGGTCTTTTAATGCCAATTAAAGTCTTAAATTATTAAAAAATATTAACTATCTTAGAAGCATTTCTTCCCTGGAATGTTTGAAATTTGTAAAATGTTTTTCAAGTTTGGAAAAAGTGGTTAATATGTGTTTTCGTAATAATAAATAAGAACTATTTGGACCAAATAAATAAATTTGTGATTTACAAATTAGGATAACTCCAAAAATTTATGCCATTATTTATCATGTTCCCGATAGAATAAATTACATTGCATTGCATTTATAAATTAATTTTTTAGTTGTTTTAATTAAAATATGTTAAGATATTAGTTATTAGGTTTTTTCGTGAATTTATACATAGCATTATTGTTTATTTTGGTTTAAAAAATTTAAAAAACTTATAAATAAAAACTTAAATGTTAAATAAAATTTAATGTCTACATACAAATTACCAATTCATGTCATCCTTAAATAAATTCTTAATAAAGAAAACAAACGCATACTTTAAAAGTTAAATAACTAATTTAATTGCATATTGTAAGAAAACAGTAAATGATATAAAAAAATTGTGAAAACATTTTTATTTAGAAAACTTATTAATAATAATAATTAATAGAATTTTTCAAAAAAAATGTTTCTCAGAAAGTTTGAAAATCACTTCACAGAACAGCACCGTGTATATTTAATAGTAGGTATATTATGTATCAAACTTGATAAATGCCATTTTAGACACAAATTTAATTAAGGCACGAGCGAGCTTGCGAGCGAGTACTTAATTAAATGAGTGTCTAGAAAAGTTTATAAACGAGTTGAATACTATACTTTTTCTACGACATTTACTTATTATTATCCAAAAATGTTAAAATAACATTAAAATATGATTATGTTAAGAAAATAGTTTATCTCTTGATTTTTTTTACGATAATCGCAAAGGTATTAAAAATTCTTACACGGGAAATGTTAAAGGTACAAAAAGTTGTTTTTATTGGAACTTTATTGGAATTTTCAACTTGGGAATGTACAGGCATTAAAATCCCAAATTTTTGTGTGGAACTTTAGCCTGTGACTAAAACATGTTGCTAACTTCAGCCCATGACTAAAAGGTCCCATGTGCGTTTTAAAGGTAGGAGTGGAAAAAAGAATTAACGCATTAAAAACTAAAATAAAATTCACATCTTCACGTACCTATATTATAATTTTTCTTCTGCATTCCGTTTATTTTCACTTTCCTCAGGGATATTTGAGCGCTTAAGAGTTCTTGCAGGAATTCGACGGGAGAGCTAACCTCCTCGAAAATAGCTTCAAATACGTTTCCTCGCTCGCAAGTGCAACTCAGGACTCCTCCGTGATTCAAAAGCATTTTTAATGTTGTCTTGTGACAATTTTCCGCTAAAATATACGTATGCTAAGAGCTTTCAATGTTCGTGTTTTGTCTGGTATTAAATGATACACTTATAAAAAAGGTTTCAAATTTTTATGGGCTAAAGTTTTAAGGATTATATTTATTACATTATTAGCAATTTGGTGTTTTTTCTTTTGATTAAAACGTTAAAAACAGTGAAATAATTAAACGTCAGGTTTCTAAAATATTCATCAAATTAAATTTTTTTTAATATGATACCCTGTATATTTTTACATATTTTAAAAGACAATTTTTTTTATTAGCATTTAAATAGATTATTTCTTTAATATTATGTACTTTTAAGGTTTAGTACAACTGACTTGATAACATTTTAGCTTTATTTTTATAGGGTGATTAATAATTTATAAAATTTTGTTTTTGAAATATACCTGCAAAATAAACTGCTGTTCGTCCTTTGGAATCTGGTAAGTTAACTGATGTGGAGGTGCATCTGGAATCTTTTAAAAATAATTCCAATATTTCTTTGTCCCCATTTTGAGCTAGTAAATGTAATTCATAATTATTGGAGTGTTTATTTAGCCAAGCTCCAGCTTCTAATAACATTTTTATTGATTTTATTCTTCTGTAGAAAACTGCATTGTACAGAGGGGTTAATCCTAAAATGGAAATAAAATTTTGAAACTATTTTAAACTTATTTAACGTTTTTAAAAATTGTTGAGTCATCACTCTTATAGAAATGTTCTTTGGTGTTCAAAAAATAACTTTTATAACTTATCGTCCGAAAGTTTTTATGATAAGTGATAACTTAATCAAAGCTAAATATAATAACATCAGACGAACCACTTGTTATAAGGAAGATCAATATCGGGGGATGATTTAATAGAAAGTTGGTTTGAAGGATGTCTACACTGAACAACATTAAATTGGCCAATAAGCTTATTAAATTATTTTTTGAAAAAGATGTATTGGCAAAATATCTCCGACAATATTGGACATCTTCAAAATGCTGTTTCTCTTCATCAAGTTTGCCCAAAATTCTTTGTTAGGATTCATAAAAATAATAATAATAATAATAATAATAATGTTTATTAACAGCAAATTGCCACAATATAAAATCCTAAAACAAATTAAGTAAATCCTAAAACAAATTAAGTAAACTTGATGTAAAACTTAAAAGTGATCATTTTGCTAAAAACGTTGGTCAGTGTTCACAATTGGACATTTGTATTTTACGATGTGCGAAGGAAACTATTAAGCCATCAACCCATTAAGACTGTTTGTCGGCAAATCGTAAGACGTTTGAAAACCAATCAGACGAAGAACTTTATGGATATACATTAAGTGCAGCGCCTGAGATAGACACGGTTAGGCCGGTCCTATCCTAGACGGCTTAGACCTTTTGTGTGTGTTTGTGTGTGTGTGTGTACACTGTACAGTATAAGCCCTTATCTATATACTATGAACTGGTCGAGACTGGGTATCGACATAAATCGATTAATGCTCGAAGGACTCACTGACATTGCAAATATTTTGCGGTAAAAGAGATATAAAGATTAAGGTTTTACGCTGAAGCATTCCAAGGATTACTTTTACGTATGCATTAAACGTTTTATTGCCGAATAAAAGGTAAAAAATTACCGAAACTTCTTTTAGAGGTCATTTTGTGTACCTTGTATAATTTTTTATGAATGTAAGAAATTATAAAAGTTTATCATACATTTGTATATTTTTTATTTACGTGTAAGGCTAAATTACTTGCATATTTTAAGCATTCTCCAAACAAAACATACATATTGTAACTGAAGGAATACATATCAATATTTAACAGAAATGTTATGGCAGAATTTAATATTAACTGTCAATCATCGTCTATGGTGTTAAAATCCTAAAATGTTCTTTTTTAATAAATTTTCAAAATGTCAGTGTCAGTTTTGTTTAATAAGATGTTTTTTCTACTTTTACCTTTAAAACGCCCAATATATACACATTAAAATTATACGATTTGGTTATTTATATAAATAAACACTTATTAAAATTTGGAAATTAAAATTACACGTTATTATTATATTAAAATATTAAAACTGTTTTACTGTTTTAATATTTTAATACAACAATAACGTGTACTTTTAATTTCCAAATTTTAATAAGTGTTTATTTATATAAATAACCAAATCGTATATTTTTAATGTGTAAGTCTTACTACTTTTATTTTTACATATTTATAACTATATTTTTAAAAAATCTAATGTAATTTCTTGTAGAAACCCTGATGATGCATCAAAGGCGAAACTAGTCGGTTATTAAAATAAATCAAACCAGCAGAGAAGTGCCTCTTATTCTATAAACAACATAATAATTGTTGAGTTTAAATAAAATAATAACGGGAAATGTTAATGGTAAAAATTACGTCAAAAATGTTTATTGCGATGGTTAGATTTTTCGTATAGTGTCGCTTTATACAAATATTTCATTTAAATAAATTTTTAGATAATATTAAGTATTTGTATGCAACTCGATTATAAATTTTTTTAGAATCATTTAATTAAACACTCGCTCGTGTCTAAATTAAATTCGTGACTAAAATGGCGTTTATCAAACTTGATACATATTATACCATTTTAACATGTTTTGTTCTTTATGTCCAGCAAAAAAGTTTTACTAAATTGTTAAAAAAATATAAACTATTTTACTGACCAATTCGTATACACAATTTTAAAAACGATCATTAAATATGTTGAGTATAAACTTAAACGTTTAAAGGAGCGTGTTAATCTAAACATTTTAGTTTAAAATAAAGTATGTTATATGCTATACGTATTTTATTGAGCACTTTAAGTGCAAAAAGCTCACTCAGGCAATTTTAAATGCAGTTAGTTTCCCTAGACAAGTATTTTATGAAATAGTTTTTTGTTTTAAATTTTGCACATTTTTATAAATGGAGAATGCGCCGGGGTATTTTGTATTTAATATTAACTAACACTGAAATGTTATTATTATTTGTTAAATATATTATTTTTTACATTAAAATTGCGTTTAATTAAATGCAAAATTATTCAGCTAATTAAATCTGTCCGGTATAATTAGTGGGTATGTACAGATTAATTTACTTTAACCAATCTGTCCATAACTAAAATCCATTATGAATTTTGTGCATGAAAATTATTGCAAAACGTATAGACCAGGGTCGATAATTTTTGAAACCAAAAAAAATAACAGTAGGATGAAACCCATTGGAAAAGGAGAAGAATATAATAAAAATGAAAGGAAAAATAAATTACGGGCGATCTGAATTCGGGAAGTGGGAGGGGGGGGGGTTTAAGGGTAAAAAATGGTTTATCTCGATTTCCGGCAAAACTACAAGTCCTATGGAAAAAAGTTACATGGCAAAGTTGTAGGTAGTAAAAGGATCTACAACTTTTGTAATTACAATTTTTTTACATAACCTCAAAATTTATGTGAAAAATTCAAAAAACGAAGTTTTTGGTTTTTTATTTTTATCTTTTTCAAAAAAAATTTTTTTTCCACGAAATTTGGTGAAAACTTACCTTTTTATGTCCCAAATACACTGTAATTAATTTGATTTGAAATATTTATTATTTCGATTTATTTTGACTTAATATCAAAAAAGCACCCTAATTTTCAATCAAAAATTCTCGCGTCAAAATATCAGCTTTTTTCAAAAAGTCGGTGTGCTTTTTGTTCGTTGAAATCTCTACTTTCTGATGGTGTAATAAAAATATACATTACTATGGTAAATGTTCTCAGAAAATGCAAAAAATATTATAATGAATAACGAAAAAAACTCGAATTCGAAAATTTATTTTAATCATTATGTACAATTTCATCAAAAAAATGTGATTGTTGCAATTTTTTTAGTTAAAAAGTTTATTTATTAAATTCTAATAACATTTATGTCAGAAAATCTCATAAAATATAAAAATACATGTAAATCATACTATTGAATTTAGATACTTCATTCTGATTACGTTATTCATTATAATATGTTTTGCATTTTCTGAGAACATTTACCATAGTAATGTATATTTTTTTACACCATCAGAAAGTAGAGAGTTCATTGAACAAAAAGCACACCGACTTTTTGAAAAAAGCTGATATTTTGACGCGAGAATTTTCGATTGAAAATTAGGGTGCTTTTTTGATATTAAGTCAAAATAAGGCGAAATAATAAATATTTCAAATCAAATAAATTACAGTGTATTTGGGACATAAAAAGGTAAGTTTTCACCAAATTAAGTGGAAAAAAAAAATTTTTTGAAAAAGATAAAAATAAAAAACCAAAAACTTGGTTTTTTGAATTTTTCACATAAATTTTGAGGTTATGTAAAAAAATTGTAATTACAAAAGTTGTAGATCATTTTATTACCTACAACTTTGCCATTTAACTTTTTTCCATAGGACTTAGTTTTGCCGGAAATCGATTAAAACCCCCCCCCTCCCACTTCCTGAACTCAGATCGCCCGTAATTTATTTTTCCTTTAATTTTTATTATATTCCCCTCCTTTTCCAATGGGTTTCATCCTACTGTTATTTTTTTTCTCTTTTTACCATTTTTAAAGGCTTCTGCACTGGTCTAGTATTAAACCAAAAGCGCGAAATTAAGCAGGATATAATATTTAACCTATTGAAGTCCATTTTGTGTCGCAAAATAAAATTTCGAAAAACTCATTTATCGTTAGATTACCTTTGTTGCTCGCGTTGACATCTGCCCCGTTTTTAATTAAGGTCCACACAATCCCATTGTAAATCTCCTCCTCCTGAATGCACACGGTCAACAATAAAGGTGGGTTCCCATTGTCGTCCTTTTCGTCCGCGTCAGCGCCATTTTCAATTAGCGCTGTGACACGATCGTGCGAACCGTGCATCACGGCGTCGTGCAAAGAAGTTGCCTGAAAAAAACATGTTGTAATGTTTACAAAAAATGTAATTCTAACATGGGCGTCACGCAGAGGCATGCTAAAAAATAACCGGAAAATTACTTTTTTCCTTCACTCAAATATGTCATTTCAAAGGAATAATTACCCTTTGATGGCTTTTACAGATTTTTTAACTGCCGCGTAGCGTATCGACGTACTGCGTTTGTTTTGAACTTCAATGTTTTATAAAAGTTTTCAAAAAAATCAATCACTTTACTTTTTTTAATGCGCTGTTAAAAAATGGTGTATATCGTGGCTATAAATATTTCTTAATTAACGCACAAAAAATGCAATACATTTAAACATATTTCTCTACTCCCACCTTTAAAAAGCCCTTTATCGTACATTTTTTCATGACACTAAGTAACCTTTTAAATACACATTGACAAGTTGTGGCTTTACGGCGCTTTAGGCATGGGCTGAAGTTAGTTTTAAGTTAGTTGACAGTTGTCAAATGTCATACAATCGTTAAAATAAAGTGCCTTTCTTGTAAAATAATACTAAATGTGAAAATTATTTTATTATCTTAATACAAAAATACAAAAATATTAAATAGTTTCTCAACGCCAATATTTGAAAAGTTTATATGAACATTGTACTGACCTTTTAATTTCGCCGGCAGTAAACTATAACTTAAATTCGGGCACTGACTCTACTGTAAAGTCCTCATAAAACATTTTCTTTACTTTCACTGTGAAAAACTGTCAATTTTCAAGATACATTTCGATTTATAACCTTTATAATTGTGTTTATAAAATGTAAAAATGTGACATTTGACAGTTTCCCCTGTTGTTTCATAGATGGCGATCTATACAAATTTTTGATTTAAATCATTATAAGATAATAATAAGTATTTGTCGTAGAAATAGTATAGTATGCACCTCGTTTATAAACTTTTCTATACACTCATTAACTTAAGCTAAACTTAAATTAAATTCGTGTATAAAATGGCGTTTATCAAACTTGATACATAATATACTATTTTGTAAAAATAGGCGATAGTTTAATCAAAGATATTAAATAATCTACTTACAGGTATTTCATTCATCTTTAATACACAAAGAACCAAATCGAAATATAATGTTTTGTTAAATTAAACATTTTAAAGTATTTTTAGTTTCAATTCAATCGGGTCAATATTAAACTAAAAATAGCGAAAATTGTTTACTTTACCAAAAATACAATTAATTAGAATCGAGGTCTACGTTAAACAAATTACCATAAAATAAATCTACCTATAATACCAATACACCATTATTTAATAATAAATAATTTTGATTAATTACATACAATAATAATGTCAACAATAAAAAATCCTTGAAAATATTGTTCAATTTAATTTAATATACCGCTAATATTTTAATAGAAGTATATGCAAATTTTCTGTTATAAAATAAATTATTTAGTAATCAAATAAGTGACAGAATGCTACACTAAGACCAAGTAATTATTTTAGCCACGTCTTTGGGCGCTTTACAATTAATTTATGCAGAATTTGTAAATAAATAATAAAAAATTAACTAATTAAATAAGTAGTTTGTGATTATAACAAACATTTTGTAGATTTAATAACAAAATCCTATATCAATAATTCAAAAAACAAACTTTTTTGTAGACCCAGTAACAAAAGTATTTGTTGGAAATTGGGAACTTAAATAAAACGAATTTTGATAAAAAAATGTGCCTTATTAATCAATTTCCACATTTCTGTGTGAAAAGTGACAGGTCTGTGTGAAATAAATTGACAGCATCGTTTGAAATTCGTTTCAAAATTTGTACTGTATTTGTATATGTATGTTTAAATATCATTTAGAACACAATTAATTGTGTTTGTATAATAAATTCTAGTTTTTAGTGCCTTTATTTAAATTGAGAAGGTAAGTTTATTGATTTTAAGTAAGTTGTAACTTAAAAATTAAAAGAATAAGATGAAAGAATTTTAACAGCTGTCAAACACGTTTTTAGGTTATTTTGTTTTGTATTTGAATATAATAAAAAATAAAAGGGTCGTAGAAAAAACATCGGTCTGACGGCCTCGTGAGCAACTTCTTATTTTATAACAGTGTAGGGTCATAAGGTTCTATGTACAATTTTATCTATTTATTTATGGCCTTATGCCATGTTTCTTTTCATTTTAAAAGAGCAAAAATCATTTTAATAATCGTTTGGTTTAAGTAATAATAAAAATTTAAACTTTTTCATCCAACAAAAACTTCTCTAATTATACGCCTTTTCGAAAAGTTTTTATTAAAGCCTGTTGTCCTTGTAATACTTATTTGGCACTGTGACAAAATATTGAAAATTATACTGACAAATCCCACATAAAATTATTATAAAATAAAAACTATACATTTTTACTTACAACTTTAGTTTTCATTAAATAAAATCCTGTTTGTTTCATTTTATAACACAGTTTTTGTTATATAAAAGACGACGACGTATCACAAAATTTACTAAAAATATGTCGTAAAATCTCGATTTGACATACATTTTATGTATTCATTTTGGTACACAGTGCGTAATTCTCGTAAAAGCAGGTACAACACCGGGAATATTAGGTAGCAAAACTTGACGGCATTACTTTTTGTGTCGCAATAAAACTTTGATTATTACCTGCGGGCAAAGCGTTCGGAAGTCCGCGCCAATGTTTGCCGAGTTACATTCACTTTTCCGGATATTATTACCAAACACCTGCACCCGGAAGGGGGCCCTTTTTAATTCGTAACCCTATCCCGGCACATGCTACGAAATTAGCAATTCGTAATTACAAAGCCAGTTTATGGTTTATTATCGAAGAATATGTCGATAATTTGCCACAGCGTATATACTGTATACATTTGCGACTAATTTCTATGCAATGTTATAAAAATCAGATTTGTTAACATGAGTGTAGTTTGTAATTATTTCAACAAAGGAAAATATTTTACCGAAAGTTTTGTAAAGGTAATATGCAATTTTGTAAGCATTTTGTTAATTTCAAAGGTTACAGATTATTTTGTAAATATTTAACAAATTATTTCGTTGAAAAAGTACTTTATAGTATTTGTGGAATATTGGGAACTTAAATAAAAAGAATTTTGATAAGAAATGTTGCTTTATTAATCAATTGTCTAAGCAACAAAATTAACAAAGCAATTTGCTATTTGGTCTACAAAAAGATATAAAGGTCCTTTTTAGACAAGAATTATGGTTAAATTATCAATATAGGATTTTGTTATTTAATTTACAAAATGTTTCTTACTACTACTTACTCAATTAGTTAATAGATTACAGTTGGTTGTAAACTTAACATAAAGTTATGTGGACCTGGATTAACATAAAATCTGGTTAATATTTGGTTAACATTAACAAATATTTTTTTACTACGTATGCTAAGAATTATTTCTAACAAACTAGACTAGTCTACAGATTTATAAAAAAAAGTACCATTGGTGGCCAAAATTTTTTTTCAATATTCAAGCTGATTGGGCATTACTCTGTTACACCAAATTTACATTTTGGCTAAACCTTCTCTCTAAAAATGAATTAGTCAAAAATACTAATTAACTAATTAACTAATTTAATAGTTAATAGTGGCTGCTTTTTCACTTGTGCCATGGTTAACCATCGAATACCATGGTATCCCAAAATTGAATAGCCAATTCTTATTGTAAAATTGTACTCTGAATCCGAAAATACTGTCAACAATAATGAAAGTGGAGCAGTTTTTAAGAATTGGCTATTCAATTTTGGGATACCATGGTATTCGATGGTTAACCATGGCACAAGTGAAAAAGCAGCCACTATTAACTATTAAATTAGTTATTTTTTACTAATTCATTTTTAGAGAGTTTTGAGTATCAAACGAGCAACTCAAATTTTAAAAAACTTATTATTACAATGAAAAACTTAAAGACGCTGCAACATGTATACTGTATTGTACTTTAAAATAAAAAAATGCCGCAATATCATTTACAAAATTTGTTTTATTAAGGCTTTAAAAGCTCAAAAAAATGGACCCGTCTGAGATTAACTCGTCGTATTTAAATTTAATGGTCATTCTAAACTTTTCAACTCGGACTTATAATACACAAATTTTAATTAAATGCGATAAGGGTCAACTAAATATCTACAGCAAAGTTGTGTGAATCCATTTTGCTGACCCAAACCTTACTTACAAATAGAATAATTTAAAACTCCATCTACATAATTTCGCTCAATGGAAATTCGACGCGTTATTTTCGATGAAAGAGCAAAAATTCATTTTATTCATTAAAGTAACATGAAATTTAATTTGCTTGTTTACATACTTAGATCCCGCTACCTCATGACTTATATTTACTTAAATTGAATTTCAAACAAGTTATATTACCCAGGTTGTTTGCATAAAACTCATTTCGTTGATTTGTATGATTTGAAACTTTATCAACAATTATAATAATATATATAATTTTTCTTCTCCCATCTTTAGTCACGGGCTAAAGTAAGTTTAAAGTTAGTTGCCAAATGTCATACAATCGTTAAAATAAATTGCCTTTTTTGTAAAATAATAGTAAATGTGAAAATTATTTTATTATCTCAATACAAAAATAAAAAAAGTATTAAATAGATTTTTGAAAACTGCTTTTATATCAATGCTTCTGTATCGATTTTTAAGGTATAAGAATTTTTAATCCTTTGTGAAATTTTGCAATTATAGTGATATAAAAAATTAAAGGATAATGTATTTTCTTAACATAATTATATTATGCAGTTATTTTAATATTTTAAAGTATCAATAATTGTTAAGTTTAATTAAAATAATAACAGCAATTCTAATGGTGAAAATTACGTCAAAAATCTTTATTGGGATGGTTAATTTATTTTCGTATAGTTGTCGCCTTATACGATTTTTTATTTAAATTATTTTTTATATAATATAAGGTATTTGTATTAGAAAAAGTATAGTATGTAACCCGTCTATAAACTTTTTACTCATTTTATTAAGTTTTTATCAAACTTGATACATAATTAACTTTAAATATTTAGTTTTATATTTACCAAAATCCTAGCTGCTCCTCCTTTAATTTTTTTTTTAAAATTCATGATTTTTTTCCAAATTTTTGTTTATTTCAATGTCTACCTTTGACAGATTACACCTATTTTTATAAAATTAGAGTATATTATTGAGGAGACTTAAAGAATACTTTTTAATACTATTCACATCATTTGATATATACAGGGTGAGCCAAAAATCGCTTATTTTTAATAAAGCAAAAGCGTAAATTCATGATTTGGGCATAACACGCAAAAAAGATTTATCCCCATTTTTTTTAGATATTTCTACGTTTATCAGGTTACAAAATGGCATTCTTATCAACCTTTTATAAAAAAATAGTTTTTTAATCAAATTAAATAAAATATCGTTTAGAGAATATTTGAAATGTTGTTTAATTAAGGCTTTTTAGTAGTTTAGTAGTCTTTGGAGATTTAAAAACGATATTTACAAAAATTTTGCTTTTATTTTAATGTGTTAAAAAATCATTTTTTTATTAATTATTTTTTATGGCAAAGTCTACCTTTGCCAGAGTACACATTTGTACACCGATTTTTATTGATTGCAGTTTTTTGTTCGGGACCCTTTGGTAACTTTAAAATGTTATTTTCAAAAATCCTAGCTGCTCCTATTTTCGAAATTTTTTGAAAATTCTTCTTTTTTTAAATTTTTGTTTATCTTATATTTAACAGAGTATACATTTGTACACCGATTTTTATAATATTGGAGTATATTGTTAAGGAGACTTGGAGAATACTGTTTTCATACTGAGCACATCATTAGATTTATACAGGGTTAGCCAAAAATCACTTTTTTATAAAGTAAAAAGCATAATGCACAAAAAAGATCTCCAAAAAATGTTATTTTATTTAATTTTATTCAAAATCAATTTTTCTTATAAAGTCTTAATAAGAATCCCATTTTGTAGCCTGATAAACATAAAAATATCTAAAAAAACATGGGTGGGTATATATCTTTTTTGCGTGTTATGCCAAAATCATGAAGTTACGCTTTTGCTTTATTAAAAGAAGCGATTTTTGGCTAACCCTGTATATATTAAATGTTGTGCACAGTATAAAAAAGTATTCTCCAAATCT